TTCGTTAAGAACATCGAGCATACAATTGCTCACCTATTTTTCACTACAAAGGATGTGACAGGTTCATTCTGGACGTAACCTGAATATCCATCTCTATCGGCACATATCCCAATTACCACTTGAAGCCCGCAACATGTGGCAACATGTGGATGTACCCCTGAAAGAGTCTACTGGGAAGATGAACTGTAAAACGCGCAGCAAAATTCGTAGTTAAAGATGCGCCAAATTTGCCTCCGGCGCGCGCGCGGCTCACATGGCATGCACAGTCTAGTATATATCAGTAAAATTGAATGTATGAACAATGTTTATTATAACGTAAATGGTTCCTCTCACATTGTGTCTTGCTTGGTCATCAACGTACTACAAAATCAATCGAATCGAATAAATTAAATGGCCTCTAAACCGAGACATTGGTAGTGGTAATTTAAATAAAAATCGGGTTCAGAACACAGAACATTATAAAGTCATTAATAGTAGATATAGTGACACTTTTTCACGCTGGTGGGCACATTTTCGATTGTGCGGCTCATATTGATAAACGACCAAAATTCTAATAAATACCTTGTCCATTGTTAATGGACTATGCGCCCAGCGTGCGCTACTTCGAAAAAATTTAGACGAGTAACATCCTTCAAATAATTAACACCTGAATCGAATTTTTAACGGGTGATACTCGTAAAATATCTTTTATATTATTAGGACCGTCGACGAGTCCAACTCGGCGCGCGTCCTGGTAGGTTGTAAACCTACAATCGAATTTAGAATCGAAGCTGCAATATTGTTTAATGGTAACATTTTGTAAACTAGAACTTTTGTTAAATTTTAAAAAATATTATAAACATTTACATAATAAATTACCATCACTTACATTTTATTGTTTTAAAGTTTAAAATATTGCATTGTAGCTAGATTTTTAATTTTGTTCATCGTGGTGAGAAGGGTTTTTATAAAAATTACTAAGTTTTTTATTGAATTTTTATATTGAATTTTTGTATTGAATTTTTATATAGGGTCATTGCTATATTATGTCCATATTGTTTGAAAATTTAAAAAAAGTTCATCTTGGTGATATTACATGTCAAACTTTGGGATTCTTGTTTTTGATGCTCTCGGTCATATCACTTTTACTGTCCACAAGCCACAATCTATATCAAAAGACAGAGGGGCGAGAAAGAACTTTGTCAATATAGACAGTTTCGCTTCTACTAAATCGCTCGCCCAAATTTTAAGAAAATTCTTGTGAAAAGGCCCTTTCGGTATGAAATTGATCTCAATCGTAGTGGCGTAACGTTGCCTGTTGGCGCCCCCCGCCCCCGCCGAAAAGGTGCCCTCCTGTTGGCGCCCCCTCCCCTTTTGGTGCCCCTCCCTAAAATTGAACAAATTAGGTGATTTTAGAGGATACGCCGGTAAAATCTCTAAAAAAGTGTGTATCTAGAGCAAAACGCGCAGTTTTGCTAGTACTTTAGTTAATAGACAGTTTTTGGGTTTTCCAAATAGTTTCTGATTATTCTGATTTGCGACAAATGATATTGCACTGTTAGGATAAACGACGTTTCAAAGTAACAACTTCTTATTCATGCTCAAATTATTTGTTATATAGTAGTGTTGAAAGTATTAGTTAAGTTTTCGAAATTGTCCCACATTCAAACGACGATTTGGCGCCCCCCTAAGACGGCGCCCCCCTGCACAGCGGGGTCAGCGGGGCCCTTCGTTACGCCACTGCTCAATCGGTGTATTTTTGAACGCTGATTCCGAATCACCCCCCATGACGTAGGGTAAAAATGCTTCCCTGGAGAGTTATGGGCAAAAAACCGTTTTGGTCACGTGACAGGCTAGTAAAACATGAATTCGATTGTTTAGGGCTCGGGTTAGGGTTAGGGTTGTGGTAAGGGTTATGGATAGCTTCGGGGTTATGGTTAGGGTTAGGGTTTGGATTAGGGTTTATGTAAAACTGTTTTGTACGGCTGCAAAACCATAAAAACCAAAGTCACGTGAAATTTTTGGGCGAGCGAATTAGTAAGAGCCAGACAGTTTAGATTTGAACTTGGAGCCGCAAGGCCAAGGGTGATTTTCTAAATATTGAGTTTTTGAAGGGTTATTTTTATATTAGGTCATTGTGACATTATGTGTACAGTATACTGTTTGAAACAATTTATTAACTCAATATCAAAATTAAACATCGTATATTTCTGATTTATTTTAAAAATTCTGTTGATTTTAGGTAAAGTCTGTTTCTGAATAGAATCTCCATAGATTTTGTTTCTTGTTATGGCAAAATAGTAAAAACTCACCAGAGTACAACAAATCAGGTTAATTACATTTTTCTGTTCTACCATTCTAGCAAACTTGACCTTAAATGAACATAGTTTACAGTATGTATATGTATAGTGTATTACAATGTAAGTGTACTAACAGGATTTAGGTTAGATTCCTCATTTAACACCTAGTTATTTTTCCTGTTCACTGCACTTTATTTCTCCAGAGCTTTATCCCAATTTTTCCTATATTCACCTCTGGCCTGGGATCGATGACACATGATCCACCTAACCAACTAGGCTTCACAAAGAAAGCTCAAACATACGATCACATACTAACCATGAAAACTATAGCTTCAAAATATAAACTTTTGGGGAAACCTGTATATGCAGTATTTGTTGATTTTAAAAAAGCATTCGACTCAGTCTGCCGTCAAGCCCTTTTCCTCAAACTCGCAAAAAATGGCATAACTGGGAACTTCTACAATGTCCTCAAAAATATGTACTCAAACTCGTACGCTTACATAAAATTATCTGGTCACCTCAGTAAACGCTTTCAGATACGTAAAGGTACAGAACAAGGTCACCCACTCTCACCTGATCTTTTTAAAGTTTTTCTCAGTGATATGTCCTGCCTCCTAGATTTTCCAAATTGCCCCGTACTTTCAAATATGACTGTAAGCCACCTACTGTGGGCGGATGACCTTATACTCCTTTCACTCGACCAGGAAACCACTCAAAAGCAACTTAATATTCTCGGTAATTTTTGTGAGGAGTGGGGCATTGAAATCAATGAACTCAAAACTCAAGCAGTCATCTTTGGTAAGAAGACGTTAAAACAGGACATACAAAACATCAAATTTACACTCAACGGATCTAATCTTGAAATTGTTGACAGTTATTGTTACCTTGGATTTGAACTTCATCAATCGGGTCAAGTACAGATCGCTCAACAAAACCTTAAAACCAAAGCAATGCGTGCATTTTTTGGCCTGAAAAGGGTTGTCATGCGTTCAAAGTTATCTTTTAAAGCACTCCTTACACTGTTCGACTCTCTCATCAAGCCCATTTTATTATATGGTGCTCCGATATGGACACCCACTAGTACGATCAATAAATCTCTTTGCAAAACGATTAACTCGACAGAAGCAACCGCTACTTACTTACTTAAAAAAATCAGCGCCTCTCTGCAAGAAAGAGTGCATATTTCATTCCTAAAATGGGCATTGGGAGTCCATCGTAAAGCATCAAATGTCGGTGTTTGGGGAGAAACAGGAAGAATTCCTCTGATTTATCAATCAATTCGCTTAACGTTAAATTACTTCAAAAGGCTAAATACAAAATCAAAGTCGAATTCGTTTGTCACTGCAGCCGTAAAAGAACAAAAATCACTAAACTTACCTTGGTATCGATACATAAAACCACTCCTTGAACTAGATGAAATTTACAAACTAGATCACGTAACTGCGCACCGAATTCTCAATACAAATGCAGCTAACAAAGCCGCGCCCAACCCTGTAAGTGATCACAAATTATTTAAAGACTCCCTCATAAATCAGTCAAATTTTAGTCAATCCATCAAACCACTATGCAGCAAAAAGTATAGAATTCCTAAAATCATCGAAGCTCTAACCAATCAATTCAAAAAATGTTGGCAATATCAAAAATCTACTTCTTCTAAACTCTCATTCTATCACTCAATCAAACACACCTTCAACCGAGAGCCCTACTTATACTTATGCAAAGGCTTTTCTCGTCGTTACAGCACCACAAAACTTAGAATCAGCGCCCATGATCTCCATATTGAAAGAGGGAGATACTCCAACACACCCCGTGAGCAAAGACTATGTGGTTGGTGCCAATCAAGTATGGGCGTTGAGACCATCGAAGACGAGTCGCATGCTCTTTACATATGTGACTTGTATTCAAAACAGAGGTCGAAATTAGTCAAAAATCTTTCTCAAATGCCAATCATTGAAATAAGCAATGAAATCACCGACTCCAGCAATATCAATGAAACAAATCTCAAAGATCATCTCATGGAAATTTTGTCTCCTTACTCAACTGTAATTCCTCAAAATCACCAGAGCCTCCATATTCACTGCCACCGCTCACTTGATATTCAACCAAACACCCCACAGTATATTCAATTTCAAGAAAGGCGCTCCTATGCTGTCAACTGTGTGTGCACTTATTTCCTTCGCTGCTCCGAAGAGCGAAATAGCTTCACCGAAGATATGCGTCAGCGTAATTCAAATGCACGAAACTTAAACAATTTTACTATCAATTTGGTGAGAACCTCGCGAATTAGTCATAATTAAGACTTAAGGATAACCCTGGCCCTGACTTCAAGCAAAGATGATTGTTTTCATTAACTTCTGTAAACAATTATGACGGTCCATGATAATGGATCTATAATTTAATTTTAATCCTGTGTAAATCCTGTGTAAAAATCCTGTGTAAATCCATGACAGAACTCGAATCTGTAACGTTCAGATTACATTTAGGGACCTGTGGTGAAGTGGTGGTTTTGATATCTTGCATTTGGAATTTAAGTGCACAGGGCTTGTGTCATTAATCCGATACGCTGTGAACTACGTCGATTTAAAAATTCAAAGGGATTTCTATAGCTTGAATATTTTGTGTTTTGCATTTGATGGTACTTGTCAGTTGGACAAGCTTAATTTATCTTCAGATTATTTGCCCAAGCTAATGTATAACTTTTTGGACTAACAACTCTTTCTTTAAGGATGGTTACTGTGAAGTAAATGGGTAAATGTGACAATTGCCCAATAAACTACAGAGATTTCAGCTCGATGTCCTCCCAACTTCCCCAGAAACCAGTGAAGGTTGTTAAAGGTGACTCAACTGGGTTAAGACACCATGTTCTTCGTTTTAACACTCCTAGAACTGTCAGGTTAGATTCTATTCTGGGCGATAATGTTTCAATGACAAGAATTGTTACTGAAAACCAAATCACTCAACCAGATATGAATCTAGAAGGTGAGGGCAGTGAATTTGGATGGAAAAGTAAGCAAGCCAGGTTGGCTCACAAGTACAAAGTGAGGGCTGTAACTGAGGATCAATGTCCTTGGGAGCTTAAAGATCGAAATGATAAACATTATGTTGGACGTAAAGAGGGTGGCATTACTGCTAACTCAAGCTATATTGTTATGCGGGAAACTCAGCCAGGAGTGTATGAAGCATATCCTGTAGAAGACTGGTTCACTTTCACTCCTAAAATTGACTATACAACTTTTGATGAAGAGGAAGCAGAAGAAGAATTTCTGAAACGTAACAAAACATTTAACAACAGTAATATGATGCTTCAGAAACGTCTCAGAGACAATCTTGGGGCAGAAAAAGAATACGAAGAAGCTCAAGCCCAGCTCAAGGTTCATGATGCTGATGATTTGTTTGGTGATTCAGATGATGCAAATGATGACTTGGGTGATGATCCAGCTAAAAAACGCAAAAAGAGCATGAAGAAGTTTAGGAAGAACAAGGAAAAAGATGAAGAGGATCTTAACAAGGAAAGAGATGATGAAGATCAATATGATGCACATGCATCAAAAGAGGTAGACTATATATCTGAGTCTGATTCTGACGATTCTGTTGATTTGACTTCAGAAAAACCAAATACTGTCAGCAGGAAAGAAGATTTGGTTGATAAGGTAGATGGTAGACTGTATCGTGATGCCAATGATAGTGACAGTGAGGAAGAGGAAACTTCAGAAATGAAAAAGTTGTTGTTGCAGCAAGGAGAAGATGAAAGTGGTAGTGATGTTGATGAAAACAGTGAGGAATTCAAAGCTCTTATGTTGAAAAACAAAACTAATAATATTGCAGCAGAATCCAAACGAGAGAGATCCTCTACCCCTACAAGCAATGGAAAAGAGCCCCCAAGTAAGAAGCAGAAACTCGAAAAATCAGATGGGTCAATACTGACAGAAGAGAATGTTTGGCGATATTTAGCAAGAAAACCTATCAGTACCAAGGAACTTATTTCTAAGTTTAAGAGTAAAAAGTCTGGCCTAAATAAGCAGGATATGGTGGCTAAATTGAGCAGTATACTTAAAAAACTTGCCAAACAATTCATGAAGGATGGCAAGAATTATTTTGTTTTAAAAGATGAGTACAAGAACTTGTATAAGGAATAGCTTTCAGTTAAATGTTACAATTTTATAAGATTATTAATATTCAAAGCAAAGCTATCTGACTTGCAGCCTTTTTGATATTCTTTTCAATGGAATGCATACTATTTTATGAATTTGCTTTTTGGCATACCATGAATATTATTGACCAATTTGAAACAAATTATTTTGCCCATAATAATATTATCGAGGCTATGAACCATAGCCCATCTACTTTACTCTTTGTTGTAGATTATTTGAATTTTTACAAAGATTCTTCTGACTTTGACTTAATTTCAATCATTTTACGTGATCAAACAAATTAACAGCTGCATATAATAAAATATAAAATCATGCAATTATGCTCATTTTTATTAATGTTATGGTTTCCATGCTAACTATTAAACCATCTTCAGCCACTAAAATCTCACTTTATTTCTTAGATGAAAAATGCCTATACCAGCTGTTCCGGTGTCCTTATACAAATCCCACCCTAGAATCTGGAAAACTGTTAGCAGAGTCGCAGTTGCGACAGTATCCTTAACCAGCAAACTATACTTCAAATGTTTCCATAAAACCAATGTATATCCAAGTCAATATCATTTGGATGACTTAGCGAGAGCAAACTGGGATCGTCCAATCATTACAGTGTCCAATCACATGAGGTAACCAAGTTATAGAAAACTATCATAATTCACCAGCATAAATTTAAAATCATACGTTTCCACTCGAAATTAACGATTTTATAGCTCTAAAAAAGTAATTATACTCTACACTGTACCATTTGATGCTAAAATAGTTTTCAGCTGTGTGGACGACCCCCTCCTATGGGGTATTCTGTATAGAAGCAGTACAGTTATCAGACACTGGGACAAGGTCCGCTGGGTTCCCGGTGCTCACGAGCTCTGTTATGAGGGCGGAAAGTTTGTTAAACTCAAAGGTTAGACTTTCTGTTTAATTTTCAAGCTCAACAATGTTAAAGTTATTTGTTACAACATTATGTTTTGATGAAATGATGCATACACCCTAATCGATCAATCAAAATCACTGGGTAAGATGTGAATTATGTTGCAGGACTGACTATGTCATTAGGGAAGACATCCTCATGTAGGCGAGGGGAGGGTGTCTATCAGCCTTGTATGGACTTCTCAATCGAGCAACTTAATCAGAACCGACCGGTGCATATATTTGTTGAAGGTTTGATCACTCTCATAAAAGTTTTTATTGTGTTAATATAGTACTATACTTCTTTCCAAATATCAGTTGTGTACGAACTGAAAACCAACACATCACAATTTAGGTAAAGTAAACGAGACGAGGAATTTGATCAGGACTAAGTGGGGTATAGGGAGACTCATTCAGGATTGTGAGAGACCTCCAATAGTGCTGCCTTGGGTTCATAGGGGTATGGAGGAGGTGTTACCCATGTATCACAGCATTCCTAAGTTCAACAAGAAGTTAGTCAAAAATCTAACATAAATGCCGAAATTTTGTCGTCAATCTGTCAAAGAAAGCGCTAAATATTATTTGAACAAACTTAATACTTATCAAGCAACATATGCTTTATTTGCACCTCTATCAGACTTAATAATCAAATAAAATTTCAGAATCACGATAGGAATTGGTGACCCAATAGAAACAGAAGAGTTGTTGGCAGAATGCAGAAGATTAAACTTCAGCGAATTAGCTACTAGGAAATATATAACTGATGTCGTGGAGTTAAAACTTGACAAATTGTGTCGTAGAATTAATGATATTCATTATAAAGACTGATAAGTAGGGGTAATTAGTGTTTAATTATATAATTTATATTAGTATAACAGTAGATACATGATATTGAATCAGTTTAATTGTTTGGTTGTTGTAATTTTCCCGTGTCAGTGTTTTCTAATAAGTTATTACCTTTATATTATTATAAATAATAAAATACATTATATTATTATAGTTTCGATCCGCCTCACCTAATATATGAACTGATGTTAGATAATTTAATTGTTAAATAAATTCAGTAAGATCACTCATATCGAGAGTTTGACCGCCACTCGAATTAGTCCCCGACATTCATCTATCCGTTAATGAACATGGGATTTAATAAAGTTTCTGCCTATTCCAACATTTTGCACTGTATCGTTTTACTTGGTTACTATATAAAATATATAATTGAGCAGTACTATCGTTAGTTAGCCATACAATCTGCTATTTTTCCAACATTCCATTCGTTATCATTATCCGTAAAACCTGAGTGATAAACCTAGAACCTTGCCACAGTAAGTCAGAATGTAGAAGCTGTTATTTGAAAGATAATTGCCTCCCCACTAACATGGCTGACCCTACTCCGCCCAACTTTCACTTATCTTACGAGAAACTTAAGAAGCTTGCCGAGGAACTGAGAGTGAGTAAAATTGACGTGGAAAAATAAAGATAAATGGTGCTATCGTTCTTCCTGTTTTCTAGTCAGTGAAATTTTGTTTCTAAAAATTTTGTTTATTGTTGTTGAAAAACTGCATTTCAAAGAGAAACAAACTTGAACTTGCATCAACGAATTGTAACCTTTATCTTATCTACAATAACATGTTTCTGAACAATGTTACTTCTCCCAGGGAGGCGGTGATAAAGATGCAGACTATTGGGCCTGGAGGAAGGGAGGAGGCAGTGACAGCAGCTCTGAAGAAGATGACTTCATGAAGTGGATCAGCAACAAACGAAACGGCAAACCGGATGGAAACAGAAACGATGATAGGAACAGAAAACAGGACGGGAAAAGGAATTCAAACAGGGGCAATGAAAGGTAAACTGCTTGGACTATAAATTTTAAAGAACTGATGTCTTTAAACAATATTTGATTCAACTTTACAAGTAGCCACATGTAAAAGATTGACCTGTAATTGGTAGTTAAATTTTAAAGTTTCATTATTTAAGATAATCCTTTTTCTCTACCGTAGATCTATCCAGAACAGAGTAAGTGAAAACGGTCCTAGAAGCAGCTACCGGAGACAACCACGTGACAAATCTCCAGACGAATCACGTGGCAGACCACGTGACAGACCACGTGTTAAATCAGGTGAATCCTCGCTAGAAGAACGTGACAAGTCCGTGGAGAGTGGGGAACGAGAAGATCCAAAACATCCGACAAAACGAGAACGGAGAAGGAGGAAGAAAATGGATGACCACAGTCCAGTGGTATGTTTGGCACACATTGTTTTATTTCACCTGTCCGTACATTAACTCAATAATTATTTAAACCATGCATTAACTCAATAATTATTTAAACCATGCACCCTCTGCCTGCAGTTAAAATGTGATTTGACTTCCATGATTATAGACCAGCTGCAGCCTTACCGTATTATGGGGTACTGTGCTAATTATAATTATCCATCTCATCAATAATCATTTCAAATTATATAATTTAGAATGTATCATTATTACCATGATAATTACCAACTTATTACCTTTTTGTCAGGGAGATCGACAACCCGCACTGTGGGATCCAGGTGACTGGGAGAAAGGACCACGCCCTTATCTACACGGTATAAAGAGAGACTCACGCACGGCTAAAGGGGGTGGTGTGATAAAGCTACCCTCTAAGATTAAGTACCCAGAGGATGGCGGCAGACATGCACCAGTCGGGGAAGTCAGGACTAATTCTTCACAGGTAATTGATTAATTCAGGGTTTAATTCTCGACTTTCTCAACAATTGTTCTTACTGTTCAATGTACAAGAGTTTCTGTTTTTTTAGCAAATTTTTATCAGTCAAAATAATAATCTGGATTATGTGATATTTAAATTGTCCCACTTTTATTTGCACTTTATGTTACACATCTAGCCGTTATGTTACATATTTAATAAACTACTTCTATATCTTGTGAACTACTTGATACTTTTCCAGGGAGGTGGAGGACCAAACGACTTCATCTACTCTGACTCGGGAAGTGACAGTGATGGTAACTTTACTGAGGAGTACTCTGCAGCAGCTGCAATATCACCTCAACTTAACTCATCTGGTGAGTTATTGTGCTCACCAGATTAGCCATCAGTTCAAGCAGTTGTTAAAAATATATAATGAGAAATATTCTAAATAATGATAATAGTGATGCTTATTAAAGTCACTTGTACCTGAAGAGGGTGGGAAACAATTCCGAAGATAAACATTAGAGGCTATTCAGTATCCCTGACAGCCCCAATACTTCAGTTTTGAACGTGATTGGTATAGAGAAGAGGATTGAGAAATGTGCTATTGAAGCTACTCAATGTTCCAGTACTTTTTGTAAAGTAAGTTTGTGCTGACTACACTCTGCAGTTTTAGAATCCCAAATTCTAGGGAGCTTTCAAGGGCCCTTTTTTGTCACTATTTTGATTTCTGTTAAAACATTACATTTTCGGGTAAAGGGAATCATCGATTCATATGCAAATTTATTTTATTCTCCTCAGGAATCGTGTAATAAGTTTCTGGGGGAAGGGATGCGAAAAAGAAACTCTCTGGATGTTTTATACGAATCTTTTGAAGAACACCATACAGAAATAATACACTTGCGGTAAGAAAATAGAAATATAATAATTTCTATTCATAATATTGATCTCCATTAAAGCTTGTTAACGATAATCGAACCCAAGCCTTGAGAAGCGCCAGTGACGTCCTAAGCAAAACGAAAAGATCAAGAAATTTTGGTTTTATACTACCAGCGCGAGCGGTCAGTTCCGACCTACTGTACCACTCTTCTTCTAGTGCTGCACCAATATCATTCTAATTCGACTTAATTTTCGTGAAAACTGTCAAGACTGTAGATCAACAATGATATCTGTGTTAATTGGTTGCAGTTTCATTATGATGCATCATGTCAGTATCGCGACCGAATTCATCAATATCATATCAACTAGTTCTATACGATTTATAAAATAATTACCAAACTTTAACAAACCTGGTATGAAACTGAACAAATCAGAAGCAGTGTCCTGAACACCAGAAAAATATCGTGTTCACATCTCTGTTCCATATCTCTCTCCAGGTCTCAATCGTGCAACTTGTGTCAGAGAGGATGAAGGTTAGCACCTCCTCACTGTTACAGTGTATGATAAGTTTAGGAACTGTCTCGTCTCTAACTCTTGTTATTTTCCAGGTTTTTTCTTTTATTGATGGGTGAGATTCGAATTTGGTCCATACAGAGTTGCATCCAAAAACTCGATACCTGAATCATTGGTTTTAGTAGGGGCTTAATTTTTAGCCCCGTGCAAAGTGCTCATAAATATAATACAATTAAGACCTTGAATGGGAAACTTTAAGTACTTGGGTATTTGGGTGCTGAAGCCTATCCCAACTCCTCCAGCGTTTGATTCATCAGAAGATCGGAAGTACACGTCTACTTTATCCCCGCTATCTTGCTCACTATCTGTCTTTATCCCTAGTGGATTCTTCTCCAGGTCAAAGGCTATTCTCACATCAGTTTCTGGTACTGGTGCCCAACCTCCTGTTTATGTACAGTTTTAATTATTTTTTCGTGTACAGGAAACTATAAAATTGCTATCAAGAGGGAAATTGTATAAGTGGAAAGATTTGTAAAACTGATGATGGTGGGAACATAAGTAGCCATTTATCAAAAGGTGTAAGTGATGTTCCCTTTATAAGTACGTTTTACAAATAAATTTATGCCCCCGCCCGCCCCCCCTGTCCCTCCCTCCCCCCCCCCCGCTTCCTACACCCCTGGTTCGGTATAATTACCGAACCTCGTATTATAAACCAGTAGCACTAAAACTCCTTGCATCACATTTAGTTCATTTAGCTTTTTATTCCGGTTACAATGTGAACATTCCTTGCATTTCACTAACCTCTTATTGGCACAGCTCTGAATTTGACCGAAGCTGTGTCATCATTGCTGTCCCCGGGCCGCCAAAACACAATTTTTCGCAGTTTGCTGAATTGATCGGAGCAGCTATTTGGGGTGTTGTAACTTAAAACCTCTTTCCCATTGCAGAACACCTTCACATTCGCAGCCTCAGTTATCTGTATGCCCCAAATTTTGTCTTTCTCCGCGGGCAAGCTCGGAAAGGGTCCATACCCTGGCACACAACTTATAGTTGAAGTTTTAACCGCATAGGTGATTTTGTCAGAAAATCGAATCTTCAGATAACTCGGAAAGGGTCCAAGTTGTGTAGCTGATTTTTGGTAAAACACAACGGTTAGAAGCTTATTGCTTCCTGCTTCTGAAACTGTCTTTATCTCCAGCACCTGATTCTCCAGATCGACGTCTATCAACTTGTGGTGAATTACATCCGTCCACTCTTGGGTAACTAGGAGATTTACAGTTAATTTACTAAAATTTATAGAAACTTAAATACTGCAGCGAATTCGATCAATTCTTGCACAACCTTAGATAAATATATTAAAACACATCGCATATTGTATATTGATTATTGCGGTTATTGAAGGATTAGCCAACAGTTTATGAAACGAACTTAAACTTTGCTTCTTCATAATATTCAAGTCAGCATTATAAAGGTCGCAATAATGAAACACCAAAGTCAAAAAGGAACTTACCTTCTCCAAGTACCACTGTGATTCCGATAGGAAAAGAAGAATATTGTCAGTGCATTCTTCATTCTGGACATTTCCTTCTAAGCAATAAAACAATCAAGTAATGTCCTTACTATAATAGTACTGTAAAACTGGACTTATTATAAAACCTGTTGAAATGTATATTCAACATAATGTGTTCTCAGCGCTATGAACGTTATGCAAATTGAAAATATCGAAATAAATAGTTCTATATGACCCTCTTGTGCACGTTAATGTGGTAAGTACCTGTAAATTGTAACGAAATTCATCTTCTATGAAGAAAGAGGCCGGAAGTCATGTAGCTCATGCTAGGTGATAATTTGGGAGTTTTTAACTACGCATGACTAATTGGAAGGCTCACTCAGTGGTACTTTGATGCGGTAATCAGCGCTTACCACCCATGGTTACCAGTACAAACTAATTTATTACAAGGCTGGTAGCTAGAGAAAAGTGAAAAAGAAAGTAAAGATAATAAGTTGGAGTTTAGTAACAGTGTGTAGTTACACAGTACACACAAAAATTCGAGCAATCCTTTTAAGAAATCGCACGAGATTTTAAAAATCGAGACGAGTTGAAAAACTGCAGTATTACAAAATATTCCAAGCTAAAGAATAGGCTTCATAAATATTGGGGGGCTCGATTAGGCTGTCATTTTTTACCTCGCCAATGTCTTTCGTCATTTCATTTTTACTTCTTGATGAAAAAGACTTTAATTCAATTTGAGACATATGCTTCGCTGACAGGTTCTATAAATCAGGTCAAGACTTAAGATTAGTGTTTGTTTTTACGATGTAATCTTAAAATTGCACACAGTCTTATCGTTGAAAGGGAGCTATTTGGTCGTGGCCCGTGGGGTAAAGGAAAATGATCTTAGCTGTGATCGAGGGATTTGTTCTATATAATAAGATAAACGATTTAGCTGACACGTGCATGATTCATAAAATAAAGCGATCTTTAGCTATTTGGCAGGTTAAAACTTGATGGTTGCTGTGGCATGTGCATTAGTATGTAATGACGTCTTGAGTATATAGTACATATAATATAATAATATGCCTTTTTTTTACTATGCAAAAATAGCAGCTGTTTCGGTCATTTTCAAATCACTTAACTCCCACAGTTTTAGATTTACATGCATCGACTAATTTACAAAAAAGACCCACCCACCCCCTTCGCGGTACTAACTGTTTTTCGGATAATATTTAGGACACCCACCCCTTTTGCGGTACTAACTGTGGAGAAATCACGGTACTAACTGTTTCTTGGTATATAGGGGGGGTGCCATGTCCGTCTATGTCCTCTTGTCTCATAGAATCCAAAAAGGACTGGACAGGACAGGACAGGACACGACAATAAGGACATAGGCGGACATATGCGGACATAGGCGGACTTAGGTGGACATAGGCGGACAAAAGCGGACATTAGCGGACAAAAATGGACAACAAAATTAGCTAAATTTTGTTAAATTTTGTTAAATTTTGTTAAAATTTGCTAATGAGGCATGGTGATACTTTTTCAAAAAAGTCACATTTTATGTGGTTCATCCTATAGATCCTGTTTTAAAGGTATTTTGACGTGCGAATTGAGATGTCAAGGACTGTTGTAGGTACTTGGATACAAGATCTAGAAATACATGTGCGCTACATCGGTATCATGCTAAATAACAAATCTAAAAAGGGACCTTTACCGATTGTTGAAATTCGACATCTAGCGTCATCTAGCGTGAAATGACGCTAGATGATGCTCGATGACGCTAGATACCGCCAGTTAGCGACAATCTAGTGTCATTTAACGCTAGTTACGCGACACTGTCGCCAGGCAACAGCTAGCGCTACTTACTCAGAATTTCTGGCCTTTTTGTGGGCGACATCAAACGCATGTTGTTCAACCGACAGACCCGAGAATCGAACATGCCCTTGATATTTCCCTTCCTTTCCATCCTTTCCTATCCAAACCCATCTCCGAGATACTCGGACAACACGACATCAAAGTCACCCACTCCTCGGCTACCTCCCTCCGTAACCTCCTCACCAAAACGAAGACCACACCCCCTGGCCCTACTCAACTCACTCCTAGCACCATCTACGAAATTTCCTGCTCTGAGTGTCTCTCCAAAGTCCAAATACACCGGACAGACCTACAGACTCTTGATTCACCGCATGAAAAACATGGACGATGTTATAGACTCAACACCGCCATTGACGAAACCGCAGACAGAATCAAATCAGCCCCCGCACATCATGCCCTGACCACCGCGCGGCCACACCATCTCCTGGAACAACATAGAAGTCCTCAAATCCCTTACCTCACGCTCCCAACTTGACCTCCCTCACAGAACACGCAGTTATACAGGCCCGACAAACAGCCATGAACAGAACAGACCGCGCACCCAAATGTAGTTCCCTCTGGGACCCAAAATCCTTAAAGTCCAAGCCATCTGGCATTTCCTTCTCAACCTCAACAGAAGCCTAATTTTTTCCTCCTCGTTTTTATTGACATTGTACTGTAATTTTGACTTTCCCACCCACACCACCCCCAACCTCCATCCTTGACACCACTCCATCACATTGTCCACCACATCACATTCAGCTGACGACGATTAACACATGTTTATTGAAAGCTTCTACAAGTTAAACTATCTAATCACTTATATGTTTTTAACCCAACTCCAATCGGATATCAATCTGTTTTCCGGTTTGCCGGATTTTATCGAACCGGAACCGGGTGTTGAAAAATTGAAATTAATCCTTACGTGTTATGTGGGGTTTTTGATCATAATACTAAAATCCATATGAACTTACACGATAAGAAAGTGTTTGCAGTTCGAGTAACTGTGTTCAATTTCATGCCCTATCTAAATTTTGAACAATTTTTCTGTTCTGTGAGCAACAGTCACTGGTATATTGTGTTGTGCGAGCAGAGGCCCCTGGTTGATCTGCTGTATGAGTAGAGCTAGAAAAAAAGCGTTGGAATGAAATCATAACTTATATTTCAAGAATTCACTGCACCTTGTGTAGCACAAATGTAAAGATTGTTCTAAAAATAAAACCGAACCCCGAGCTATCACAAGTAAGTGGCGTCGATATAACTACTACTACTAATGTCCATAGTTTTTCTAATGACATAATGGCTTTCGTCACAATAAAACAGGAACCCTCTGCTTGCAATGCTCATTAGCAAAGCACCGTTTTGTCGTTGGTCTCGGCACCTGCTTTGCAGTGGTGCACGCCGCCGCCGAACTGCAAGAATTCACTGTCCATAGTTTTCCTAATGACATAATCATAATGGCTTTCGTCACAATAAAACAGGAACCCTCTGCTTGCAATGCTCATTAGCAAAGCATCGTTGGTCTGGGCACCCGCTTTGACTATTTTCTTTGTGATACAAAAAATAAACTCACATAAACGGGTCTCTTCACATTCGGTTGAGCCAGAGAGGCGTGACGAATGAACATGTGTCTTGTTTAAAAAGAGACTTTAGACTCATCTTTTTGAAAAAGTTTTCATATTTTAAGGTTCATAAAATAACTTCCTCATAAAAACCCGCATCTCATAAAATGCTAAGCTCTTATGTTGTTGTTTATGAATTGCTTTAGATGGCTTGAACTGAATCTTTGGATTTTGAGTCCTTTTTGGCTATAAAGCGATGTATAAATTTCTAGTTATTATATTAGTTATTGTTTAATTTAAAGTAAAATTAACGTTAAAAATCAAGGCCCCTCAGACGTCAGCAAAAAATTAACTCTCTGTTAAATAACTTTCGCTTTCTCTTTCAGGCAAGAACTAGCGTGTGTAGTGTCGTGTGGAATGATGTACGACCTGGACATTTGCCAAGATTTACAAGCTGAGAGCGTCCTTTGGAAGAACATTTTCTATCTTCTGATACAATACTATCGAAATAGCATTACCAATAGTAACTCTGGTAAATTATTCTCTAGATTATTATAATTAAAAGCCGTAAACTGTCCTTTTATTCCGTATGATTTCTTATTTGATTTTTGCCAAAAAGAATTGACAATTTAAAAAAAATTGACAATTATTAATTTCTTTTATAAAACCAAGAAAACTCACATGATGTATCCTACCAGATAGTGTGAAAGCCACTCTGAGTCAGCAGCTGGAAGAACATATTGGAGAAGGAATCTCGTTCTACAACATGCTTATTAGACAAATCCAGAAACGGTACGTAATTTTTAATATCATGCATTGAAACATTCTAACCTAATCTAACTTGTGCTGTTTGTGTCACGCGTGGACTGTGGAGTCACGTGTAGTCACGTGTAGAGTAACTACTAGTTACTAGGTTTTAAATCGGACAGCATTATTTGAAATTACCTTGACCTGTTTGTGGATTGTAAGACTCCATGAAAATCTGATGCCTTCTATTTGTTTCCGATTATAATTAATCGACGAGGCTTCTTTTTTTTTCGTTAAACCACGTGCCTGTTCAGACATATTTAACATATTTGTGCGATCAGTTCTCAATAAAACGTTCAGTTCAAATTAAAATTATATAAAACGCATTTTGTGCATAATAAAAGGGGTTATCATTAATTCAATAATACTGTTTTTTTCCAAAATCAAACTAATTTAAATGATGAAGACGTGAAGCAAAACTTCTTAAAATCAAGATACAAATTTTGGGCCACTGGTCGATTTGCAAGCCCCGGATCACTAATCAGACTCTGTTGGCCGTCAATGACTAAGGGTCTTAAGGGGGCATACCCCAAATCTGTCCAGACCAAATGACCTCATAGGCAGTTCAGGGACCTTCTAGGGCACCGTTTCCACACCAAAAAAAATTGTTTTGAGAATTCCCATTTTTGTAATCGAGCATTTCCTGGTTAAGAGTGCAATTTTCGGAAAAAATTATTTTGTGGTTGAGACGCTATAAGTTAATCATTTCTTGCGGTATCGGGTTGAAATTTTGCTCGCCGTTTATTCACATCTATGTCAAGGTGTGTGTAAAATCTTGATATCGTATCTAAAAAGGCTGGTGTGTTATGAATTTTTAAAGTCAAAAAGCTAAAATTGTCCTTTTCAGGCTTATTTTAACAAAAAGTCAGTCAGGGAAGATCGGATTATTTGATGCTTGACATCAAATTGTTCTCTGAATTCTGGCGCAGTTTTTGATGCCCTCAAAAATGTTTTTACTCATTCACCTTCTGATCTATTGGACCTCAAAGCCAAACAACAAATTTAGGCACATTTTTCGTTTTTAATATTTACTGATTTTTCTAAAATTTTGATAGGAATGTGCTAGTGACTTTTTGAAGGGTGCAAAATAACCGCAACTAGCACATTTATATATATGAGTTATGAACAACAAAACATCCTAGAATGCTTCCCTTTGAAGTTATGGGAGAAAATGTGATTTATTATCTGCAAAGCCAAAAAAATCACATTTTCTCCCATAACTTCAAAGGGAAGCATTCTAGGGTGTTTTGTTGTTCATAACTCATATATAAATGTGCTAGTTGCGGTTATTTTGCACCCTTCAAAAAGTCACTAGCACATTCCTATCAAAATTTTAGAAAAATCAGTAAATATTAAAAACGAAAAATGTGCCTAAATTTGTTGTTTGGCTTTGAGGTCCAATAGATCAGAAGGTGAATGAGTAAAAACATTTTTGAGGGCATCAAAAACTGCGCCAGAATTCAGAGAACAATTTGATGTCAAGCATCAAATAATCCGATCTTCCCTGACTGACTTTTTGTTAAAATAAGCCTGAAAAGGACAATTTTAGCTTTTTGACTTTAAAAATTCATAACACACCAGCCTTTTTAGATACGATATCAAGATTTTACACACACCTTGACATAGATGTGAATAAACGGCGAGCAAAATTTCAACCTGATACCGCAAGAAATGATTAACTTATAGCGTCTCAACCACAAAATAATTTTTTCCGAAAATTGCACTCTTAACCAGGAAAAGCTTGATTACAAAAATGGGTATTCTCAAAATAATTTTGTTTGGTGTGGAAACGGTGCGCTAGAAGGTCACTGAACTGCCTATGAGGTCATTTGGTCTGGACGGCACAAACCACTGTTTTGGGGTATGCCCCCTTAACTCCTTTAATTTTAAATATTATCATTATTACGTATATAATATGATATTATCAAACATTGTTATAACATGCTTCACTAAATCGAACTTCAAAATCAATTTCAAATCTTGAACGGAATGTCCTTATAACTTGCAATTGTGATTCCACATTATTGTGTTATACTCCTGTGATGAAACACACTTCACCAAATACGGTAATAGTTCAAAATCAAGTTAGAAGTATATACGGGATGGAATGTCCTAGTAATTGTAATTGTGATGCCGCAACTACTGTAAAGATAGCCCTTAGTTTTGTCACATGATCATTGTTTAATGGAAACATTACCATCACGATACAGGTATTAATTTACCTCCCTGCGGTGAGATACCGCTTCCCTCCATCGCCATGTTTGAAGCTCTCTCATCATCTATTCTACTTCAGAGGGAAGTAATTTATTTTATATTTTGAAATTGTTATTATTCCAATATAACAAATAAATTTTCCAATCGTGTAAAAAAATCGAAATGTATCATTCCGAGATTTCCTTTGTCAGTTCAGTGCCGGAGTGGCCCTCACAGCTCTCCTTATCATCATGATAACATTCCCTCTCAGTTCCCTACTTCTGGTTATTATGATGAGCGGTGTCAGAAGTGCGTTTAGTAGTGGTAGTGTCGTGCTTACCATCAATGAGCAGACTGACATTGCAAATGAATTGTCAATTCTGGCCCATACACCTCTGTAGTATAGCTGTAGGATTGCTATTCCTGAGTTACAGAACAGGAAAACAGCGGAAAGGAGCGAGACTGTGGTGTTCACATGTGACCAGTTAGTGACCAGTGGTTGATCAGGGTCACGTGCACGTGCTCTGAGCCGTGTGACTAAAAACTGTATCACGAGGCAAACCAGAACAACACAAATCGGAACTAGATACAGCAATCCTACCAGTAAATCTTGACAAATCCGTGACTTGAAGGGAATATTAAAATCATAGGTGAACCAATCCGACATGTTATGGCCTACAAAAGCAACAACTACATTGTCCCATAGGAAAATCCATGGCAGGAAGTCATCATAAAATGTATTGTCAATGTCCTCCCAGATATCCACTACAGACAATGAAACTAAGAAACCGATCACAAGACCCATTGCAATCTTTAGACCTCCAACGTCGACCTGATGGAAAGGGAAGGATATTTTAACCGTCCTCAAAACAGCGAGCACCATGTTAAAGAAGACAGATGAGGCGTAGCCGAGTAGTGACAGTGCGGTATGTATCACCACACATACCAAGACATAGCCTGGTGCTATAATGTCACGTGACATCAGCACAACAAATACCATTAATATCAGGTGACCAACACACGTGATCAAATCAAATGCCGTTATCATGATAAAAAGGGTGTTGGTGAGGGTAGCAGGGTTTCTCCAATAGTAGGATAGGACAGTGGTACAGACAGCTAGTACCAAGATGCACAAAGGAATGTTGAACGGGACGACAGATATAAAAGCTTTCTTTAGATACTCAACATAGATATTCTGTCCTAGCTGATTTGTTGAGTTACTCATCGAGGAATACTCTTCCATCTGACAGCTGACTTGAAGAGAGAGTTAGAGAGATCTAGTACAACAAAATATTAGACACGCAACTAAAACCAACAAAATATTTCAATCTTTTGGGGGATGAAAAATACAAAAAAATGTGTCATCAGCTCAATTTAAAATTTTATCACCGCGGAGGCGCGGACACCACGTGATATAACGGTATTATGATGAGATTACTTCCGTTTTGCATCTCCACAGAGAATCTCTTGCAATTCAACAGAAAATTACTACCGCACAGAGAGAGAATAATCTGAAAACATTGTGTTTAGTAGATCACAGACTGGATACTTCCGAAATTTGATCTATCACAGGAACTAAAATCCAAAGAATGCTGGAGAAAAGGGCCCGGTGCTTGTTATGATATTAGGTATGCCTTGCTCATCATGTGATTTGTTGAACACCAATATTTGATGCAGTTACGCAGATTACCAACATCTTGAGAGGAAAACTTTGATGATGTCACTGGTTTAGTTTGGCTGTATTTTGGATTTTAACTTTTCATTGTATCATTCTACGAATATACAAAATATCATCCTAGTAAACATCTGTCCATGTCGGACGGGCGGTGTCGGTGCATAATAGTAAAATCTGTGCAAGTTGCGTAATTAGTAAAATTTGCATTTTTAGAAATGTTTAGTTAAGAACTCCATCATTTAAGAGATTTTACTTGGCGTTATTTTTGTCCTTGCTCTAGTAAATGCCGAACATCATACTGTCATTAATTATACTAGGTAATTATAAATTCATTATTTGTCAATTAGAAACTAATTTAATTAACTAATTAGTAGCTAATTACTCAATTAACAGGTACAAGGTGAATTACAAGCACCACACGACCGGACACAATAGAAGTCAGGTCTTGGCTCTCCTACTCCTTCATAAACTCTTCCTTTGGATCGGAGACTTATACAGGTGACAAGAGCATGTTGACAAACGTTTTACCAATTCTGGGACTGATCCGTCATTTCTTGTTTAATAGCAAATTATATACTAAAGTGTTGTATGTGACATTGATATAGAGTGAGTGAATTAAGGGGGCCGGGGGGGGGGGGGCCGGGGTCTTCATCAAAATTATCTCGAAATTGATTTTATAGTTGTTTCTGATAGAGGGGAGTGATATCATTCAGCTGCTTTTGGTCCCATGGAAAAATATTGTTCCTAGCCAAAATTATCGCCAGTCAAAGGTCAGCGCTTATGTGTAATTGTATTGCGCGAGCGATTTTCAATCGCGTGCCCTGAAAATCGAGTCTAAAAATCTATCTTCTCCTACATTTTTTGAGCAATCATCCTGAAACTTTCAGGATATGTTCTAAGGATCATTTAGAAGATATCTGTCGAGCCGAATTTTGAGATAGGCCTTAGAAAAAATTTTATTCAATTTTGAAAATCTTGGACCTCATTTTTTGACGATTTTTCCAGGTCCAAGATTTTCAAAATCGAATAAAAAAACTTCTAAGGCCTATCTAAAAATTCGGCTCGACAGATATCTTCTAAATGATTCCTAGAACATATTCTGAAAGTTTCAGGGTGATTGCTCAAAAAATGTAGGAGAAGATAGATTTTTAGACTCGATTTTCAGGGCGCGCGATTGAAAATCGCTCGCGCAATACAATTACACATAAGCGCTGACCTTTGACTGGCGATAATTTTGGCTAGGAACAATATTTTTCCATGGGACCAAAAGCAGCTGAATGATATCACTCCCCTCTATCAGAAACAACTATACCGTAAAATCAATTTCGAGATAATTTTGATGAAGACCCCCCCCCCCCCGGCCCCCTTAAAGGTTTCAAATCAAGTTGATCTTTCTCAAAAAAAGAAGGAATATTATTAGATCTAAATATTTAAATTATTGGGATCTAGATATATTCCTGGGCACTAAACAAATGAAGCATAATAATCCAAATACCAAAACCCCATTAAAGTTTTTATCTATAAACAATTTTTTCACTTTCACTTTCACTTTTACTTTCCCAGGTATTTGTCGCAAACACGAGATACTGACGAGTGGGGACAAGCTAGAAACTATTACCTGCTTGCTCAGACCTTAGCTCCCAGGAACCCTCGCCCATATCACCAGGTTTTAATAGCAACCAATTAATTGACTGACTTCATTTAACTAATTATTATCAGCTAGTCAATTAATTATAATTAGCTAGTAAATTGACTAATTAACCGTTTCCCCACACCCAGCTAGCACTGTTAGGAAAATACGCACACAGACGACTCCACGCTGTCTATTACTTTACCCTCTCCTTGCTCGTCAGAAACCCTTTCTCACAGTCCAAGTGAGTGTTACTGGTTACTGGTTACTGGTTACTGGTTACTGGTTACTGGTTACTGGTTACTGGTTACTGGCTAGTGGTTACTGGTTACTGGTTACTGGTTACTGGCTAGTGGTTACTGGTTACTGGTTACTGGTTACTGGTTACTGGTTACTGGTTACTGGTTACTGACTACTGACTAGTGGTTACTGGTTACTGGTTACTGGTTACTGGCTAGTGGTTACTGGTTACTGGTTACTGGCTAGTGGTTACTGGCTAGTGGTTACTGGTTACTGGTTCCACACACGCCGCGATTAATTGTGTCACTGGAATTAATCTTTTCAAGGTTTTTAGTTCTATTATCGTTTATTTTACGTATTGTAAGCTATTTTTTTTCTCAGAGAGTTGTTGTTGGCTGTGTTAGCAGAGTTGCGAAGGAAAGCTCTCCTCCTTCAAAGAAGAGATGAGGATAGGAGCAAGAGAAACCAAATCCTGCCAGGTAACAGAGAAACAATTATATCTTTAAAATTGACAAAATATGTTGACTTATTGGTAAACACTGAACACGTATACATTGCTTATAATTATATGAATTCTTACCCTTTTTCTGCTCCCTAAACCAAACTCCGCCCCAAATAACTAATAAATATAATTACATACTACGGATTAAAACTACTTTCTTGTACATAATTTATTATGTAGTTTTAATTTTAAATCGGTGATAATTAAAAACACGCACGTAAAAACTTTTAAAAATTTAAAAAATCAAGCACCGTAGTTTCAATTACATCATTATTTATCAAATTATTGAACCATATCTTCTCGTAAACTACAGTTGTTGAAGTTCTATTACTGAATTTATGGTATCGTCACTGTGTACTTCTGGATATTCTTCTACTGGAGAGGATGCCTGCTTTGGTCTTTGTCTTTTAGGGGGTTGTGGTATTTGATGAGGTCTTAGATGGTGAATTTGTCTTTTTTCTGTGCTGAGTCCCATCGAGAAGAGGAGGTAAGATATCTTTTTCCTCAGAAAACGTCTAAAACTTTGGACAGTGATGGAGTAAACAAAGAAGTTAGCCACTATATTCAAGTTGGTGAGTTGACCTATAGCACGGCGTGTGGTGCCAGTGTATTGTACCCCAAACGTAGATGTCACACCATACGGCAAGAGAGATATAAACAAGACCCCCACTGTTAGCAGCCACCACACCATACGGCAAGAGAGATATAAACAAGACCCCCACTGTTAGCAGCCACCACACCATACGGCAAGAGAGATATAAACAAGACCCCCACCGTTAGCAGCCACCACACCATACGGCAAGAGAGATATAAACAAGATCCCCACTGTTAGCAGCCACCACACCATACGGCAAGAGAGATATAAACAAGACCCCCACCGTTAGCAGCCACCACACCATACGGCAAGAGAGATATAAACAAGATCCCCACTGTTAGCAGCCACCACACCATACGGCAAGAGAGATATAAACAAGACCCCCACCGTTAGCAGCCACCACACCATACGGCAAGAGAGATATAAACAAGACTCCCACTGTTAGCAGCCACCACACCATACGGCAAGAGAGATATAAACAAGACCCCCACCGTTAGCAGCCACCACACCATACGGCAAGAGAGATATAAACAAGACCCCCACCGTTAGCAGCCACCACACCATACGGCAAGAGAGATATAAACAAGACCCCCACCGTTAGCAGCCACCACACCATACGGCAAGAGAGATATAAACAAGACCCCCACCGTTAGCAGCCACCACACCATACGGCAAGAGAGATATAAACAAGACCCCCACTGTTAGCAGCACTGTGATAACACCCTCCCATCTTAGTGTTTCTCTGTGATGAGAGGCAACCCTTCTAGCCACGATCAGGAGAAGGAGTGATGTAAGAGCGATGATGGTGTAGGAAAGGAGGCTGAGGAGTGTGGTGTGGTGTGGTGTGGTGTGGTGTGGTGTGGTGTGGTGTGGTGTGGTGTGGTGTGGTGTGGTGTGGTGTGGTGTGGTGTGGTGTGGTGTGGTGTGGTGTGGTGTGGTGTGGTGTAGTGTGGTGTGGTGTGGTGTAGGAAAGGAGGCTGAGGACAGCCATGCTGATAAGAAAGTACCGAGTGTACCAGGTAGGGAGGACGGGTGAGCGGAGATCATAGTTGCAACTATAAGACTGGTAACTGAAGTGTATTGTGTCTCTGATGTAGAACATTATACCTGCTAACATTGGAGTGTACCAACCAAGTGCCAGGACCCACGCTGCACTACTAATTCTGTGCCCTAACTTTGTGGACCATGCACAGGTTCTCAGAGGGTACTTTACCAGTATCAGCTTGAGAGTGGTCATGGCAGTTGTCAGGAACACGGTCACAGGACTACAGACCCAGCTGATATTGTACTGAACATGACACATCACCCACCGATCTGCGATGAATGCAAAAGTGATGGGGAAAACTTTAAATAGAGTTTGAATCAAGTCACAAACAGCCATGTAACCAGGTAACCAGGTAACCAGGTAACCAGGTAACCAGGTAACCAGGTAACCAGGTAACCAGGTAACCAGGTAACCAGGTAACCAGGTAACCAGGTAACCAGGTAACCAGGTAACCAGGTAACCAGGTAACCAGGTAACCAGGTAACCAGGTAACCAGGTAACCAGGTAACCAGGTAACCAGGTAGCCAGGTAACCAGGTAACCAGGTAACCAGGTAACCAGGTAACCAGGTAACCAGGTAACCAGGTAACCAGGTAACCAGGTAACCAGGTAACCATGTGCTTCATTACAGTTATCATGACCTTGTTGAGATTGATAGCATTGTACTTAATGGTCGATATTAAGATGATACTGTCCCCTATGAGCGACGCTAGAAGAATCATGAGGTTACACAATATGAAAATGGACCGCATCATTGTTGATTTCATATTGCGTATCGTTATCTGTGTGCATGTTTAAAAGATTCAAGCTAGTCAATAGAAGGATGCTCTAACAAATGCGCTGTTAAAAAACTGGTAATGAAACAATGACGTTCAGTATTTCCTGCCATTGTAAAGGAAAGCTGGTGATCCCATTGTCACGTGAACACATATCTTAAACCTTATTGGTGATTAGTTAATCACGTGGGTTAAAATCTGTTTTTTAGTAGCTAACCCTCTAAATAGAATTGAGGTAACAGTCAGGTTATGATTTAAGCGTAAAATGATTAGCTGGAGGCCGAGGTATAGAATGTGAATCGCTGGGTGGTCGGAGGGTCGGCATCTGAAGAACAGTTGTAATTAAGTTAAAACTACTACATAAGTTAACTATAAAGAATACTACAATTCGTTCAATCAATTAGAAAACGAGTGTTTCAGGTATCTTAGCTTATGCTGAGAACGTAATTAATTTCACAATTAATTAGTACCTTAAATGAATATTCTCCTAGTGTAGGTGGAGTGTAGCTTTTCCAGTCTATGATGAAAGCCAGCAGTTTGATTCTATATCGTCTTAATCATCACCTGCCACTGTCGCAGCGACCACCATGATATTTGCATGTTGAGGGTTTCAAAGCGGGATTTATAAACGGGAACAGTACGGGGTTAATTTATTAAAACAAGTTATATATTGGTTCATTATCACGGTTACAGTCAATTCGATAATTTAAAATAAATAATAACAGCGAACAATTTCTCCTCATTTCACCATTTCGTTCGAAATTCTGCCATTGTAAAAATTTAAAAACGTTTTTTATTCGTTTTGACATTCGTTGAAAAAAAAACCGCCAAAATCGGAATGCGAAAATTACTGTTACTCGTGAAAGAAACACTGGCCCAGTGCTTCTTTCATGTCTTGGTCATGTCTTTCTGTTGGTCGAGTTGTGTTCTGGTCTTGTGTGTCATAATTTAGTATAATTAATCATCAGATTGACAGATTCAGAATATAAAATGAGGTAATAAACTGTCATTAACAGCTCAATTACTAATCATCTTTAATCGTTATTAATATGCAAGGAATTTTTCAATCGTGTTTTAGAAACAGTTCTTAGCACATTTAAACTCTTTAAAAAAATTTATTTATAAGTTAAATTAAAGTTAAATTTAAAACTGTACCTATTTTGGTGCACGGCGGAGACTTGTCCAAAGCGATCTCCCCATCTAAACAGACTGTATCTGCAGCTACATCATTAGCTGAAAATTGGCTATTTAAGTAAAAGCCACATAGAATCAAACATAAAGTAAGTTAATACCTATTGTTATACTTTGTGAACAAAAGAATTATAAGATTGGAACAAGAAATGAGGATCACAAAATTTACTTCAAGATTTACCATAGACAGAGTATACGGACCTTCTGTGGAAGAAAAAGCAAGTGACAGGGAACCTTCATAGTTCCAAACTTGGGTAATAATTCTGTCGGTTCTCTTGTAACAGTTCCCATCTCCGGAGCCGAATGTTTTCTTGTACAGGGTGTTTCCTCTGTTCGTTATTTCAACGTGATCGTTTGTTTTTTCCACCCTAAAATATTTTCCATGTTTTTATGTGTAAAGCATTCATATTCGACTTTCAATTTTATAAGCGGTTATCAGTTGCATGGTAATGTAAAACACAATCTACGTTTGATTGACGATAGTTCATGAATTTAGTCGTTAGTAACAATTTGTATCTTACTCCACAACCATGAACTGTCCATCATCCTCGCACTCCCACTCTTTGTTGATGTTGAAATGTGTTACTTCTCCACCGTACCAGTTCTGCAACCCAGCTTTGTTACAGTAAATGTTACCGTTAGTTTTACTGGAGAGCACAATGTGGGAGTTCTGTTCATCTTCAGAATACAGGAAGAGTTTGAACCGGATGGAGTCGGAGCAAGGGAATCTGACGTAGTATGTTTCATCTTCTTCCATGTTGACTGCTAGGTTAAGCCTGTCACTCAGCGAGAAGTCACGCCAATCTCTTGTTTCCTCTTCGTTGTCTGAAATGTGTTATGGTATGTGTATTTAGGTAATAACTTGATAATCTTATTTTGAACTTTTCAAAGATGGCATTTAATCATTATGGAAAAGTTACATACTCCATCAAATGATACAAGTATTTAAAATAAAGTTCCAATTTTCCGAAGTTTGAGGATCACCTTTTTTCACATTTTCTTTCCTTTCAATTATCGCTATCTCGCTCACTTCGATCGAACCAGTATGTCTCGTTAGTTTCACGGTATTTCCTTTAGTACAGTCAGAGCCAAGAGGGATGTTGTCCGATGCTGCACCCATAGTTTCAGGATGGTAGTTGTCCGATGCTGCACCCATAGTTTCAGGATGGTATTTTTCCGATGCTGCACCCATAGTTTCAGGATGGTAGTTGTCCGATGCTGCACCCATAGTTTCAGGATGGTAGTTGTCCGATGCTGCACCCATAGTTTCAGGGTGGTAGTTGTCCGATGCTGCACCCATAGTTTCAAGAGGGATGTTGTCCGATGCTGCACCCATAGTTTCAGGATGGTAGTTGTCCGATGCTGCACCCA